TGCAATAAGATAAGTTTATTAAGTACTGTATAAATTTGTAAATTTTGAATGTACTATTACTTACTTTGAGGCGATTGCATTTTGAATTTTGAAACCATTCCATTTAGGAAAAAAGACATTCACATGATGCTAAGTTAACTTTAATACTATACAACCTGTAGGCAACTTTACCAATCTCTTTTTGATCAATTGCTGCAAATTTCCAATATCACAATAATGCAAGCCTATTTATATTATTTGGTTTAGCCTTTGTTACTAAAATAGCTTGAATAGTATTTTCAAATCTTTTATTATTAAATATACTGTGTTTTATATAATATTTAGTTAATTCTAGTGTAATACATCGTGGCTTTACACCAAACTATATTTTATAATAATATTTGATTCATTTCGATATTCTCTTAAGAGAAAAAAATTAGCATCAAACAAAGCCTGAACATGATATTGTGGATGAAAAATAATTGCTAAGAAAAGAAGAGGTTGTTTTCAATCTGCCCATCTTCTTTCAAGTTTCTGTTGCATTTGATAACCAAATCTGTCTATGTCACTTTTATATTGCTGTACTACATATCTGAAAGCATAAGCAACATTAAAAAGATTGGCTGCATCATGTTGAAGATAGTTCAAGATGCTGACAAAAGACAAAAGATGTTCTACTAATTCATCAATATGTGTTCAAAATTGATTATTATTAATAGTGGTTTGAGATTTATCTGATAACTTAGAAGAGTTTGGATATAAAATTGAATATGACTGTAAAGCACATTTGCTTCTAAAAAGTATTGCAAAGCAATAATAATATGAGTTCCAACAGGTAGTTATTGAGAGCACAAAGCTATAAATTTCTTTATAAATCCTCTGTTGCTCATTATGAAGTAATGATATTGCTTTTGAATGCTGTTGATCAGTAAAATATGATGCAATTCCAATTGCTTGCTTTAGTATTTGCTAATATGCAAATAAAATTTTGAAAATATCACCAACACACAGATTTGCCTGATATGCAAAACATGGAAAAAATGTAATATTATGCCTTTGCAATTGTATTCTGCATTTGGTAAGTAAATGTATACATTATTTCATAATAAGATTAAAACAATATTATTTTTTTTTAATAAGTTTTTTTTTGTTCTTATTTTTATTTATACATACTGTGCAGAAGCATATGCTGAAGTGCTATCTATAACCATCGCCACCACATTAAGGTTCTGACTACTAGCATGTGCCAAAAAAGTATTAATTATGTTTAATACATCAAAAGTTCTTTGTCTTTGATTGCTAACATTCTCAGCACCCCATATATGTAACTGATTTGTTGCAGAAAGAATAACAGCATCTAAAATTTCTTGGCAACATACATTTTTTCAGCCATCAAACATAATTGTAATTAGCTTATGTGATTCAGAAAGTTTAGAAATTTTACTTTGCTCTAATTTTTCTGCATGTTCAATTAGAACTTTACTGCTTAGCAATTTGCAACTTAAAATTTTAATGATTGGATTAAAAAAATCAATAACTTTGCAGAGTATACTACATTCAACAAATTGAAGAAAGAGCCTATTCTGAACTACTAATTATAAGAGAAGATAGTTAAATTTGTTCTACTAGTTAGTTAATAATAGCTGCACAATATATATATCAAGTGTAGTATTTTTTTTTTGTTTTAAATTTTCTTGTTTCATTTACATAAGATGAGCTCGAAATTTCAGATATATGATTGGTAAGTATCGATTCTGATATGTTTGAAGCTCTAGAGTTTGATGAAACAACAGACATAGCTGTATTATTTTGTTCTTTTGCCTGTTGTAATGCTCTAACAGCATTACATGTCATACTTTCATCAGAGTCTTTATATGTCATTACTTCTTGATCTTTATTTGTCCAAAATTCATGCCAGTGTAGACAGCACTTCTAGTGTCATTGTATATGATTCCATCTATAAATGAATCCATATTTTTGATATACTTTCCACAATTCAAGACCTTCATTTTTTCTATTTTTAAATATTTGTTCTTTACTTTCACAAGCTTTGCAAATAGCCTACTTAGTTACTTGGTCTGGGCCCAATTTACTTTGAACATAGACATATTTTGTTAATCTATAAGCATGGAGAGTTTGAGACATTTTTTTTTTAATACTAATATCGATTGTTTCTTATAGCTTTTATATTTGACCAATTTAATATAAATTGGTTTAACAAGTTTGTATAAAACTAATTTAGTCCAAGAGCTAATTGGCATTAAACTTGGAGTTGATAAGCTCTGAATACTAAATATATCTTGCATATTCTTATGAATATTGAAATAGCACTTAATATTATATACAGGTATATATTCACTTATAAAGAAGAATACAAAAGAGAAGAAAACAAAAAATGAGTACATATTCTATCGACTAAATTAGGTAATTATTTTTCTATATCTTCTATCTACATATCAATCTTTATTCCTAAGTATTAGTTAGAAGTGTATGGCTTATATACATATGAATTAATTTTAAAATTTGAATTAGCTCTAGCATTCCTTAAGACATTGTTATTCATAATGATAATGACAAGTCATAAACTTATTAGTTACAGGCTAATATACATTCGTTTACATTAATAGCTAACAATTTAGTTGTTACAACAATACAATTATTATTGTTTAATCATATGCATATTTCTAAAAAGTGCACAATTTACCCATCTCTAGATACTATCATTTCTATAAGAAACAAATCAAAATCACTTGCATTTGTATCAGAGCTCCTGAATGTTGATAGCAAAAATAGTTGGCAAAAATAGTTAGTGAAATTAGCAAATTTAGCAAAATAGTTTATTATAAATTTATATTTAATTATATTTTTTTTCTGTAAGTTTTTCATCTATTATTTCAGTGAGTTCTTTAGCCATTATCTCAAATATGCATACAATTACTCATATATGTAAAACAGTTCAAAAACAAAGGTAATAATTACATGTTTAGTGCAAAAGTAGCAAATTTCTCATCTTAGCACAAAACAATTGCTGCTAGCTATTTTGCTAAAAAATAGCTCTATTTTAGATGCTAAAAAAATCTATGGACTCTGATTCATATATTTCATTTTATGATTATCAGGAATAAAAGATATAAATTAACTTGCTTTGTACTAGGTTTCATTTTTAAACTTATGTTACTTGCACAAATAGAACTTAACATCATATCTTTAATTAACAAATTATCATTATTTTTGAATTTGTGAATCCCATGAACTCTGCATGTTACCACAAGATTCATAAGATTCACAAAATTCATTTGATCACACTAATTCTAAAACAGTGAATAATTACCTAAATAGTTTTTATATACTTCGCATTTTTCCAATAAAAAATTATCACTATTTCCAAACAATGAACTATGTGAATCTTATGAACTCTACATGTTACTATTGTTTTAACAATAGTAACATGCAGGATTCATGGAATTTACAAAATTCATTGATCACACTAATTCAAAAACAGTGATAATTACTACTTAATTACCCAGGTAATTTTTATTTACTTTACAGGAATTTAACAATTTTCCAATAAATGAGTAAAAATAACCAAAAAATATCAGTAACCTTAATAATTTAGAAGCAAATCCAAATCTTTTGCAATTAATAACTATACTAGCAAGTGAATTAGCTAGGTGCAGCCACTCCAAAATTTAGGCTATATAATATAAGTCACTGCAGCATTATTGTTAAAATATTTGGATAGATTAATACTAGACACTATTATTGATGCTATGATGATGCATAATAGGTCACTGCCACTAGAAATTAATTAAATAAATCTGCTTGATTTCTATTTACAATAGCTTATAGCTAAATTTGAGAAGCTGTCTAGATAAATAAAAGATAGATTAGTTACGCAGCCCAAATTTAGCAATCAGCCAAGATTTTGAATCAGAATATGCTGTTATTAAGCATTAACTATATTATAGAAAAATTAACAACTAGGCAACTTTTAAGTTATCACTTTTTTAGTAATTTGGAGAAATTTTACTCTGAATTTTGGTTGCATGACTATTTTATTTCTAAGTAGGTAATAACCAGAGAAAATCCACTGATTAGATTTCTGAAAATTGTGATATTTTCTTATAATTTTGAGGAAATACAATACAAGACATTTATACTAGATTAAATTCAAAAACTTGTAATAACCAGTCCTTAATTATTCAATAATAATTTGAATGTACTGTAAATATTTATAAAGGCAGCTTCACATAAGCCTAATTGTCAAAATAATCAAAAAACTTTATTTTATTTAACATCTATTTTAATAAGCTCAATACTTATATCTTGTATATTTATTGATTTTAAAGTTAAATCACTGAATTTGAACAAGTTGTTTAGGTTAAGTATTAGATTAATAAAGATATTTTGTTTTTAGGTTATTGTTATGCCAACTGAAAATAGAAAAGAATTGTTTTTAAGTGTAGTTAATAAAGATTTAAACTTTGTGTTTGCTAATAAATAATTTCTTTATTGAATGTTTTGCTTTATTTTATTGATAACTGATGAGATTTAATAGTGTAAATATATATTTAACAAAGAAATTAATAATTTTCAAGTTTCTATTAAATAGAATATTTACGTACTAGTTTTATATATATATATATTTTTTTTTTAAATATTCCTGTTGTCTTAACAACTAGGGGTGCAGGTGGCACTCTTTTATTAAAAGTATTATTTGTAACTTAGTTACTTTTTAAATATTTACATATTAGTTTAAAAGATTTAGATCTAGAACTAAAAAGGTTATTTTTTAGAATTCATATTTCTTTTAAAATATGATTTTTAATGAGAGAGTTTAGAGAATTAAGAAGTATATCTGAATTTCCCCATTTTACAGAAGTGTTTTGGCACCATATTTCATAAATTGTGGTAATATGTAACCAGGTCAGAGCTGCTGAAGCCTGAGGGTAAGTATTATTGGAGGCTTGAAAGATATCATCTAATGAAGCTGGTATAGGTATTTCTTTCTTAACATTAAGAAAACTGTATGCTTTCTTCCAGATTATTATGCTTTGAGGACAATCTAAAGCAAAGTGTTCTATAGTTTGTACTTCATTTGGGTACCAAATACAGCATCCTGTTTCTGATGATCCAATGTGTCTTAACCGATATTCTAATGGAAGTGCTCTATAGAAGAGATGCCAAAAAACATCTTTTTTTTTGTTGCAGATAGACTTCAGAGAGAGCCAGATATGTTGTGGTGTCTGTGAAGAAGTTTGTGATAGAATCAATGAAAAAGAAGATTCTTTTAAAAGTTCTAGAGTTTTCTTAACTGAGAGTTCATCTCCTTTAATTTTCTTGATTCTGATTTTGTTACTATTCTAGGACCAGTTAGAGGTATATGGAACTTTGCCTTTAATTCTTGCCCATGCCTTTAAGTAAGGTTTCCATTCTGAAGGCCAGGCTTTTGTACTTGTGTTGCCAGAATTTAGAGCCTGACTGGAAGAGATGTTTCTTTTATCCTTAAGTATAGACTGTATCTTATTTCTTTTATATATTGTCCACATCGAGTTGGATGTAAGAAGCCTCATCCAAACTGTTATTAAGTGAGCATCTAGCATATCTTTGATGATTGGGG